TGCCCACCTCAGCCTCCCAAAGTGCTGGGATTACAGGCATGAGCCACCGCACCCGGCCTAAAACTCTTTTAAACAAAAAACCTTGATTTTAAGATATTGATGGCTTGGAAATCAAGGCACTATTCATCATACTGATCAATCACCTGTCCATATTCTAATTTATTTACTTCAGGAAAAAAAGTACATAAATGTAAATAGCCACCAACTAGGTTGATTTTAGGTACACAGATCCTATTTTAAAATCTACATCATAGAAAACTCATTCATTCTCTATATATTTATCTTATCCTTTCTTCTGTTGTGAAACATGAGCCTGAGATACTTGTCCTAGCCACTACACATCTGGCAGCTAGAGCACGCAGGGAGTGTAAACAAATTTAAGCCAGATCAGCATACTGATAATGTATTTCTTATTCATGAAGTAACAAATCAGCTTGTTTCTTGTTTTGATGCTATAATTTTTACAACAGCTCCAAATATATAGAAAATGAAAAAAATTTTAGCTATGCTGTTTTAACATATGTTAATTCTGATATGAAGAGTTGGGAAAATCACAATAAGACAAAATTAAAACATCAATTAGACTAGGAACAGTGCCGCATTATTTAGAGAAAAACATTATCTATCTTTCGATTCTGTGATTACTAATAACTCTGGCTGAATATTCCCTAAACATAAAATGACTAATAGCAACAAAAAGCAATATAAACTTGACTCAAGGTCACAAATTCTGTAAACAGAATAGAAAGTAAAAATTGTCTGATATGCACAGTTAAGATTTCACAGAGATTGCCAAATGTATTTTTTTTTTTTTTTTTTTTTTTTTTTGAGACGGAGTCTCAATCTGTCTCCTAGGCTGGAGTGCAATGCCACAATCTTGGCTCATTGCAACCTCCGCCTCTTGGGTTCAAGCGATTCTCCTCCCTCAACCTCACGAGTAGCTGGGACTACAGGCATGTGCCACCATGCCCAGCTAATTTTTGTATTTTTAGTAGAGACAGGGTTTCACCATGTTGCCCAGGCTGGTCTCGAACTCCTGACCTCAAGTGATCAACCATTCCTGGTCTCCCAAAGTGCTGGGATTACAGGCGTGAGCCATGTGCCTGGCCAAATGTATCTCTATTAAAAGGTTCACAGATTTTAAAATCTCTATCTTTGTAAGAATATTAAAAATAGCAGAATAATCTAAGTAGTACAAATTGTAATTTAAAACCCTTCTCAAATGTCTTTCACAGATTTTCAGATAATTTGTCAAAATTTCTAGACCCTTTAAAAGAATGGAAGGTTGGTCTAACTTGATGAAAGGGAAAGCACATGAGTATTTGCCTGTTCATTAATCACTGTATTTTTGGAGATTTATCATTTCAAAGGCATTTCAACAACTTGGTTAACCCCAAAGACGACTTTTGTTTAAAAAAAAAAAAAACAAAAAAACTTACTGTGAACAAAAATAAGACAATTGCTGTTTTAGAAAGCTTAAAGTTCAGAGACAAAGATGTTAACAATAATACAAGTCAAAATTTAAAAGTGCTTGAACAAGAGAGAGAGGTACAATTATCATGCTGGAAGCACAAAACTAATCATTCAAAAAATATTTATGAAGCAGGTACTCTCACACAAATGTCAGACTAAGCACTAAGAATACAGCAAAAACAAGAAGCCATCTCTGTCCCACATTGTGGCTAAGGTACAGACACTGAACAAGTGAAACTACGTACAATAAATATTACAAAAAGAGTAACAAGAATAACAGAAAAGTGCAATCGATTCTGTCCAGAAGGATCATGAAAAACTTAAGGGAGCTGTTGGTATTTGAATTGGGTCTTAAAGACTAAAGTATTTTAACAAACAAAGGAAAACTAAATAGCCACCAGATCTTATAAAGGGCAAACAAGAGTTCATATAGCAAATTATTCATCTGAATGATGTTGGACACAGATAAGCAAAACTTTATACCAAGAAAAAGTTATTTATCCAGAGACAGAGGTATTCAAACTGCAAAAACCATCCATTTAAAATCATACAAAAGAAAAAAGTTCATAAAGCTATCCCTGATTTTAGTCTAAATATTAAGTAATATTCATTGTTTCAAAAGATAATGAATCAGCATTAGATTTTTAGGGACAAAATGAAGTTTTTCTATCATAAAATATATCAATTTATAATTTAACCTTAAGACCAAAACAATATAATAAAAATCGTCCTATCCTTCCTGAGAACTTTCAATGAAAAGCCAACACTATTCAAACATTTGATCAGTTAAGGAAAAGCACACAAGCTAAGGAAAAGCACAGCCTGCTGCACAGGTAATGACTTAGGATAGTGAGTAAGGTAACTCAGAAAAGGTTTGATCATAGGAACATAATACTCTCTAATCTTAATACCCCTGTTCACTGAATCTCTCTACTAGGCAGAAGATCAAAACATGATCTATTATCCCAAAGATTTCTCCAAGCCGTTAAGCAACTTTTGTGAAATCTGACTTTTTTTGATGAGCTGACAAGCAGTGTGGCTATAGTCCAAACACGGACCTATACTCATGAACATATCCAATCCAATTCTCTCCTCAAAATTTCAGTTACTAGTCATGTAATGGACTTTGGCTACTGCACCTTTTACATTTTAATATTAAAAGCTGTCAACAATGTGAGATCCTTTGACACCTGTGAATTACGTCTTTGGAGTAAAATTAGCTATTTTTAAATCCCAGTATGACTTAATTGTGCTACCCAATATGTCTGTAGGTCTTCTCATATAAGCACCACTTAAGAGTGCATCTGTCAGAATATAGCCTAATGTGAATGAGAAGCCTGAGAATACTCAACAGTAAATTTCTGTATTCTAACATGGAAACGTATTCATGAGATATTTGCTAAAAGAAAAAGGCAATTATTATTGCTAATAATTATTGAATAAGGATCACTTCATTTGTTTTTAAAACTATACATTCGCATATAGGTGTGTTTAAAAGCAGCAGCAATAGGCCATGAGCAGCGGCTCATACCTCCAATCACAACACTCTGAGAGGCTGAGGTGGAAGGATGACTTGAGGCCAGGAGCTGGAGACCAGCCTAGGCAACACAGCAAGACTCCCATCTCTAATAAATGGATGAAGAGTTGGTAACAATGACAGAAGGGACTTTAACAAAAACACAAGCACTCATATCATATATGCTGACTGTGTATAAATTTTGTATTTAAAAAAACTCCATTTTTTAAGTCACTAAAAGAAATTACTTATTAAGGTCAACCTTTTGAAAAAAGTTACCCAATTTCACATATTTTGAGAATTCTCTAAGGCACATCTGCCCTCTAATAATAAAGACAACTGCTACTTATATTGCTCATAAAATTACTGGTACAACTTTGCTCCTCCTTAGTCACTACTGCTATTTCAAAGACATCTATACTTCTCTAATTTATGCTTGTTCCCTTCTGTACTGTGCAACAGTAAATGTTAACATTTCCAATCATCACCAATATTTATCAAGCACCTACCATATGTAGAAACACAGTGCGGTAGGATACAAAGAAATTGTATCTGCCATCAGACCTTGCAAACAAGCTGAAGAGAGAAAATGCTCTTACGTTAATGAACAGATAGCTCTACTCTTAAAAAGTGGTTGTCTTCCCCTGCCCAACATTGTCGTTATTTAATTCTGAAAAGATTATTTTCAAGCATGAAACGTCCTCCATATAGACTGATAGTTTTACCATTGTTAGAAACTCAGGCCAATACGTAAGCAAATTACAGAACAGTCTGTAATAAGAGCTACCTTAAATAAATGATGATAAAGCCTCTGAATATCAAAATTGTATACTGAAAATGCCTAAGAGTCCACCCTCACATTCTGAAGAAATTTTAGCTCCATTATATTACAATTTGTTCTAGGTCAAAAATTCATTTGTTTTTAAATGGAATATAATTTTCCCCACAGGCTGCATTTGTGTAGTAACACTGCAATGAAATCTGCAGTAAATTATAAAATATTTATAAAAAACACCCAGTAAGAATAACACCCAGATAAACAGTATAAAACATCTAGAGACTTACCTCATCACAGTCTCCCTCAACCATGGCATATATAGCTTTCTTAACCAAGTTAGTACCTGGAATACAGATCTGAGTATTAATGAAGGAAAAACGTGATTAGTTTCTTAAAGATAACCTAAATTATAATATTCATAAGCACGGGCCGGGCGCGGTGGCTCAAGCCTGTAATCCCAGCACTTTGGGAGGCCGAGGCGGGTGGATCACGAGGTCAAGATATCGAGACCATCCTGGTCAACATGGTGAAACCCCGTCTCTACTAAAAATACAAAAAATTAGCTGGGCATGGTGGTGCGTGCCTGTAATCCCAGCTACTAAGGAGGCTGAGGCAGGAGAATTGCCTGAACCCAGCAGGCAGAGGTTGCGGTGAGCCGAGATCGCGCCATTGCACTCCAGCCTGGGTAACATGAGTGAAACTCCGACTCAAAAAAAAAAAAAAATATTCATAAGCACACAAATGTCAAATGCTGGTTTCTATCCTGAATGCAGATACACAGATTATCTCAAAATAAATGGGAGAAATTTTAGCAAGAAGTTAAAAGAAGCCAATAGAACCTTTACATAACAGTATGTTTCCTCTTGAAAGACCTATCTCCCAATATGCTCCTTTTTCTCAGACATAATTATTTGCCCCAAGCCGGAGTTTGTTCTATTATGTTTGAAAGTAGGAGGAAAGGCAAAGAAAAACACAAGATATGGTACAGTCAGAACAACCCAGGAACTCCTGTGAGTTGGCCAAAACTTACTGCATAACCCAAGCTGATCTCACCAAAGATCTTCCAAACTCCCCTGGACATAAGGCACAAGACAACTTCATCAGAACTGCTGTTACTCACAGTGAGCCCAAGACCCTAGGTCGGTTCCTATAAACTTTACACTGAACACCATGAAGTCTGGCACTCCCAATGATGTCAGTGGTATGCCTATAAATGTCTAGCAAAACATATGCTAGAGTCAAATATATCTGGTATATTAAAAGGCAAAAAATTTGCCAAATCTGATTTTAAGAGAAGACAAATTTTATTTTAAAATTCTTAGGCTGGGCACGGTGATTCACATCTGTAATCTCAGCACTTTGGGAAGTTAAGGCAGGCAGATCGCTTGAGGCCAAGAGTTCGATCCCAGCCTCGCCAACATGGCAAAACCCCATCTCTATTAAAAATACAGAAACTTCTTTCCGCCATCTTTCTGTGCTGCCACAATGGTGCGCATGAATGTCCTGGCTGAGGCTCTCAAGAGCATCAACAATGCCAAAAAGAGAGGCAAATGCCAGGTGCTTATTAGGCCGTGCTCCAAAGTCATCGTCCGGTTTCTCACTGTGATGATGAAGCATGGTTTCATTGGCGAATCTGAAATCATTGATGATCACAAAGCTGGGAAAATTGTTGTGAACCTCACAGGCAGGCTAAACAAATGTGGTGTGATCAGCCCCAGATTTGATGTGCAACTCAAAGATCTAGAAAAATGGCAGAATAATCTGCTTCCGTCCTGCCAGTTTGGTTTCATTGTATTGACAACCTCAGCTGGCATCATGGACCGTGAAGAAGCAAGACGAAAACACACAGGAGGGAAAATCCTGGGATTCTTTTTCTAGGGATATAATACATATATTTACAAATAAAATGCCTCATGGAAAAAAAAAAAATACAAAAAACTGGACAGGCACAGTGGCTCATGCCTGTAACCCCAGCATTTTGGAAAGCCGAAGTGGGTGGATCACCTGAGGTCAGAAGTTCAAGACCAGCCTGGCCAACATGGCAAAACCCTATCTCTACTAAAAAATACCTGGCCAGGCGCAGTGGCTCACACCTGTAATCCCAGCACTTTGGGAGGCCAAGGCAGGTGGATCACTAGGTTGGGAATTCGAGATCAGCCTGGCCAACATGGTGAAACCCTGTCTCTGCTAAAATAATACAAAAATTAGCCGGGTATGGTGGCAGGTGCCTATAATCCCAGCTACTCGGGCGGCTGAGGCAGGAGAATCACTTGAACACGGGAGGCGGAGGCTGCAGTGAACTGAGATCATACCACTGCACTCCAACCTGGGCGACAGAGCAGGACTTCATCTCAAAAGAATAAATAAATAAGCTGGGCATGGTGGTGTACACCTGTATGGGAGGCTGAGTCACAAAAATTGCTTGAATCTGGGGGCAGAGGTTGCAGTGGGCTGAGATCATGCTATTGCACACCAGCCTGGGTGACAGAGCAAGACTCCATCTCAAAAAATAATAGTGAAATAAAATAAAGTTTTTATTTTTGTAATTTTTATAATTTCCAAACCACACATATGAGTATGCGTGCATTTTACGGCCTAAACAAAGTAAGTCTGAAGGCCAGGATGCAACCTTAAAGCCACTGGTTTCTGCCCTCCTAACAAGCTGAATAATTGGCTATAATTTATCATGAGACCTTATCAGTGCTTTTTAAGGCATCAAAGGCTCAAACTTCGTCCATAAAACAAGCCCAACTCATTAAAAATCTTAGTGGAAAGCTGTAAAAGTGTAATAAAGTTGGTTAAACCTAACATATTAAATAAACCTACTTATAATTACTTCTAATGACACCTAGGACTGTGGGAGACAGTCTTAGGTTGGACAATAACATACATAGTTTTTAAAAAAGATAAAAGTGACAAAACTGCTAATGGTTAAATACTGGTACAGGTATTAAACATTTTTTGTCAATGCTTAGCTAAAGCACATTACAAAATTTGACATGCTTAGACAATTGCTTGTCTACCCAATCCTCCATCGTGAACAGCCAGCCAGTAAGTCCTAGAGACTAGAAGAGTGGTTCTTTTTTTTGTTGTTTTTGTTTTTTTTGTTTTGTTTTGTTTTTTTTTTTTGAGACGGAGTTTCGCTCTTGTTCCGCAGGCTGGAGTGCAACGGCGCGATCTCGGCTCACCGCAACCTCCGCCTCCTGGGTTCAGGCAATTCTCCTGCCTCAGCCTCCTTAGTAGCTGGGATTACAGGCATGCGCCACCATGCCCAGCTAATTTTTGTATTTTTAGTAGAGACGGGGTTTCACCATGTTGACCAGGATGGTCTCGATCTCCTGACCTCGTGATCCACCCGCCTCGGCCTCCCAAAGTGCTGGGATTACAGGCGTGAGCCACCGAGAAGAGTGGTTCTTAATCATGCCTATATCACAGTCACCTTGGAAAGCTTCAGCCCCACCTCTGACAAACAGGATTCTCAGGGTGAGGGGCCTAAATACGTGTTTTTAAACCACCAAGATGATTCCAATGATTATAAATCATGAGTGTTAGATTAACTAAACATGTCAGGAAAAGCAGACCCCCCAACAAAGAATCAAGTTTGGGAATTATGAGAAACAATCAATTTTCGTCTCCTGATCCTTCCGGAATTACAGTATATGGTTGATGACTGGCACCAAGTAATGATAATTTCTCCATAAATTTGGCTTGACTGAGGTCCATTTAACCCAAATACAGAGAAGTAATTGAAGGCTGGGATGAAGAACCATCATAATGTAACTATAAACTGCAGTATTTATTGTGGTACTTAGTATAATGCAAAAAATTTTGAATGTGATTTTTAAAAATCTGGGGGTGAAAACTGATCATCAGCTAGTCGTTAAAAAGAAAAACTCTCAGGCCGGGCGCGGTGGCTCACGCTTGTAATCCCAGCACTTTGGGAGGCCGAGGCGGGTGGATCGCAAGGTCAAGAGATCGAGACCATCCTGGTCAACATGGTGAAACCCCGTCTCTACTAAAAATACAAAAATTAGCTGGGCATGGTGGCGCACGCCTGTAGTCCCAGCTACTCGGGAGGCTGAGGCAGGAGAATTGCTTGAACCCAGGAGGCGGAGGTTGCAGTGAGCCGAGATCACGCCATTGCACTCCAGCCTGGGTAACAAGAGCGAAACTCCGTCTCAAAAAAAACAAAAAAAAAAAAAAAAAAAACAAAAAAAGAAAAACTCTCAAAACATTGAGAAAAAAATTTCATTTTAAGAACTTTTAAAATACCATTTTGAAATTAAAAATTAAAACCACCTTAATTTTCTTCCCTTAGTTTCACTTTCATTTCTACATATTTACATTTAAGTCTTTTGTTTCAAACCACAAAAATGAAAGTAGCTTAGCCATTTCTTCCGTGAAATAGTATGTTTCTTACCAATGCCATTTCTCCTGTATTTGGAATCCACGGCTAACATGGCTATATAACCTCTGCGGAACATCTTTTTGTGCATATCCAACTTGCAAACGATGGCACCTACACACTCCTCCCCTACCATGGCCTTAAAAATAAACAAACAGTTAGGAAGAATACATCACCATCAGGTACTGCACAATTACCCAGAGAAAACAACAACCAACCATTCATCAGCATTTTTGACAGGGGAAGAGATAATGGAAACGCTTGCAAGAGAGCAATCGCAGACGTTTCAAAATTCTAAATCCCATAACTCCTTCAAATGTTCTATTCAAAATTTCTCAATATTCTTTAGAACATGAATTTTTTATGCTTACTATTAAAGCCTAAGGAAAAAAGACAATATTTCCAGGTAAACATTCAAGTACTTTGTAAGATTACACACAAGGTGCTTATAACCACAGTTATTTGCCACAAAGACCTAAGTTTCTGGAAGAAGAAATAAATAAATAAATTATTATAAAGAAAAAGTCTATTCATTAGAACATAAAATATTGTAAAACTTGCCTATCAGCACAATATAAATTCAAACATATTCAGTTAAATTTAATAATAATGGTCAAGCATGGTGGCTCATACCTGTAATCCCAGCATTTTGGGAGGCTGAGGTGGGCAGACTGCTTGAGCTCAGGAGGGGTTTGAGACCAGCCTGGGCAACATGGCAAAACCCTGTCTCCACCAAAAATACAAAAATTAGCCAGTGTGGTGGCATGCACCTGCAGTTCCTGAAATAGGAGGATGGCTTGAGCCAGGGAGGCAGAAGCTACAGTGAGCTCAGATCGTGCCACTGCACTCCAGCCTAGGTGACAGAATAAGACCCCATTTCAATGACAGAAAAATAAAAATAAATTTTATATTTTAGTGCAAGCTGGATATAATACATGTTTACACCTGAATGGTGGATTTTGATCAGAAAAATTAAAATTTTTCAGAAAAAGCACTGTTTATAAGGTATTACTTAGATCATACATAAGAGCTTTTTGCTAATATACATAAACATACCATGATTTCATTTTTAGGATACTCCTGACAGTGTGGATAATGGTCATAAAGCTCTCAGAATATGTATAGTTCAAAATCAAAGGTTTATGTTAAAAGCTTCAATTTTACAGAACTTTCTGTTTTAACAAAAATGTACAGATTTCCAGAGTATTAAAAGCTACATGTTAAATCCTAATCATCCCCCATTTTCATAAGATTTCTAGTGTTACCATTGAAAATGCTTTTTCAAAATTCCAATGCTGATTAAAAAGAAAGTTCTAGTAACAGGGTATTTCTGGTAAATATAAATAGGCAAAACCTCCAACTGTTTAAATAATGTGTCAGTAGAAAGATTTCCATAAATTAACTTTCCAGAACTATTTCAACAACAGAAAGCAGAAATGAGTTAAAAAATTAGTAAGTAATGTCCAATTTATACTTAATACATATTTTAACATAAATTTGTTGTGACTTTTTTAGTCTGTCATTCTGTAAATTGATTAAAAAGCCTTCTTTTAACTGTGAAGAAATCTTTTAGGCAAGATAATTCTAATCTATTTCACGCAAACCTCAACTAGGTCGGAAAAATCCTTTTGAAGGAATATGAAATTCAACAACCCACACTAATTCATTTCTGGTTTATCACACATTCCAAAACTATTTTGGGTCAATAAAACCTTTGAAATAGTTATTTCTTCTTTTTTTCCTCACATCAATCTTTTTTTTAAAAATGTTTAAATAAAGACCTAAAGTATGCACAAAAATTGCCTTAAACAACTCTGAAAGCTTTCTGATTTGAAAATAACTCACTTCAAATATATGTGTATACAGATATATATAAATATATATATATATATATACATACATAAAATAATCACAGACCAAATGGCATATTTAAAAGGGCCAGAAATAATTTGGCCTGACCTCATAAACTAGGCTTATGTGAAATGAAAACCTATATCAGACTGATGATATAAACTATAGAACAGCTACACCTTATTTAAAATCACCTGCAAATGAGGAAAAATTAAAACCATTAAACACAACACAACTGAACAGTACTTTCAATCTGAACAGGAATTTCAAACAAATCTTTGTCCTTTGAGCATGGAATAAGAAAACATTATATTAGTTCATTCTTAAGACCTGATTTCTTCCTAATTCAGAATCTGTAGGAGCAAAAATCAAGCTATATACATTATCTAAAAAGTCCAATATATCATACACCATTATGATGATATTGGCAGAGAAGACCAATGCTGTATTTTTTTTCCCGATAAACTAATCATGAATATATGGTAAAAGAATCATTAAATTGCTTGTCAATTTTTCCAAATAAAAGCTCTGCACATACATTTAGAATTCATGCTAGTAAATGTGTTTTTTCAAGGATGGGAACTGAAAAATCCCTATCAAAATTAAAACTTAACACTACAGGGCCAAAGGATTGTCAGTCTATAAACTATGAAAAACATAAAGTGAGAGATTC